TGGTCCCCATACAGCGGAACAGCTCAAGTCCAGAATGTGGAGGTGAAACGAACGTCTCTGTCCGAGTCGATGTGTGCCGGCACCCCCGTGTAGTCGCACGATCTCCTTGAAGAAAAGCCGCGGTGTATCCTGGGCCGTGACAGTCTTAGTCGTCGCAAGCAGGTGGGTGCGCTCTGAGAGCTTGTCCACGACCACCAGTATGGCGTCCAGTCCGCCGTCAGTGCTGGGCAACCCGGTGATGAAGTCCATGGATACCGTGTGCCAGTTGTGTGGCGGCACCGGCAACGGGTGAAGAAGGCCGGCCTTGGCTCTGGTGTCGTACTTGTTCCGTTGGCATTGGTCGCAGGACGCCGTATACTTGATTGCATCTTGCAGCTGGTTCGGCCAGTAAAAGCGCTGGCTGACATACAGGTGCGTTTGAGAAGCTGCTCGGTGTCCGCGGGTTGAGGCGTCGTGGGCCTCCTTCAGGATCTTGGTGCGCAGACGGTTGTCTCTGGGGACGTAAACTCGCCGTCGCTGTTGCTGGGTGAGGTAGAAGATGCCCTCTTCCTCGCTGAAACGTGGCTGCTGCAGGCGCTGGCGCTCCCGGCCTGGCATCTTCCGTGTTGCTTGGCGGATCTGCTCCAAAAGGGCGCTGGTCGGCGACGAGGTTGAGATCGTCGCGAGGTTGACGTCCATGAGGTTCCTACTGAGGGCGTCAGCCACCTGATTACGCTTGCCTGGGATGTACTGGATGTCGAGTCGTCCAAACTCCGACAGCAGCTCCATCCATCGGGCGTGTCTCGGCTTGATGTCCTTCTGCGTCTGGAGGTACTGCAATGTTCTGTGGTCGGTGTTGATGTCAAAGTCTGCTCCGTAAAGGTAATGGCGCCACTGTCTCAAGCAATGGACAATTGCCAGTGCCTCCTTGTCTCTGACGTCGTATCTCTGTTCGGCTCCTCTGTATCGTCGCGATTCGAAAGCAACCGGACGGCCCTTCTGCATGAGGACTCCTCCTACTGCTGTCTCCGAGGCGTCGGTCTGCACGACGTATTTCTGGCTTGCGTCGGGGTAGGCTAGCACAGGTGCCGTTGTCATTGCCGTCTTGAGCGCGTCGAAAGCACTGCGCTCCTTGTCGTTGAACTCCCACGCTCTATCCTTGTGCATGAGATCCGTGAGGGGGGCGGCCACCGATGCGTAGTCCTTGACGAATCGGCGGTAGAAGTTGCAGAATCCGAGAAACGAGCGCACGTCGCGCACGTTCTTGGGCTGAGGCCACTCGGTGACCGCTGCTATCTTGTCAGGGTCCGTTTCCACTCCGCGTCCCGACACGACGTGTCCGAGGAACTTGATCTGGTCTTGCGCCCACTGGCATTTGGACGCCTTGCCATACAGGCGGTGGCGGCGGAGCTGGCGGAGTACTTGGTGCACGTGGTCCTTGTGCTCGTCTATGTTACGACTGTAGATGATCACATCGTCGAGGTAGACCTGGACAAAGTCTCCAATGAAGTCCCGAAGAACTTCATTCATGAGCCTCTGGAAGGTACCTGGTGCGGACGTGAGACCAAACGGAAGAACCAACCATTCGAACGATCCGTACGGGGTGTTGAACGCAGTCTTGCCCACGTCCTCCTCAGCCACTCTCACTTGGTGGTAGCCCGATCTCAGATCCAGTGACGAGAAGACTGTGGCTGAGGCCAGCTGGTCTAGCACGTCCTGGATCCGCGGAAGCGGGTACGCGTCGCGCACCGTTTCACGGTTGAGGGCTCTGTAGTCGACGCACAGCCTGAGGCTGTTGTCGGCTTTCCTCACCAGCAGCACCGGCGCCCCATATGGACCTGAGCTAGGTCGAATGTGGCCGGCCTGTGTGAGCTCCTGCAGCTGGCGCCTCAGCTCAACCCTTTCGCGTGGCGACAGGCGGTAAGGGGAGCGCGCATAAGGCCGGTGGTCCTCTGTCGTGGGAATCTTGTGATCTACTGCTCGTTCTGGTGGCAGACCGTCTGGCAGCTTATCTGGGAACACGTCTTGAAAAGCCTTAACGAACGGGTGTTGGTCCTTGAGCGTCGGCAGTTCTTGAGGCTCGTCGATGAGGATGTCGTCCGGACGCACGTGGATTAGGAACAGTTGCTGGTCTGGGTCGCGTGCCGCCTTGCCGACTGCTGTTGCGGATATCAGATACAGTGCTGGGTCGTTGTCGCGGTCGTCCCGTGTCGTGGCTGGTGTTGTTTGAAGAGTGACGCGGCCTGCCAGTTCCTTGTCTGTGTTGCTGTGCTCCATGGGTGCCGGATTACGCAGTGGTTGTCGTGGGTTGGTGGGATCTGTGAGGTGAACTTGATCATTGATGTGGTCAACGCGCGCAGCATAGTCCTTGAGGAAAGGTCTGCCCAACACGGCGTCGACTCCCCCAATTGGAATTACGAGGAAGTCCCGCGTCGTCGTCAGGCCTTGCACCTTGAGGGTAGCCGTTGTCATGCTCGATCTGGAGACGTGGGATCCGTCTCCGTACGTGACCTGTGTGTCTTGGCGTACCTGTGTCACCCTAAGGTTTTTCAAGGCAAACTCCTCGGCCACCACGTCGGTTGTGCACCCCGAGTCCAACAGGATGTTGCATGGGACACCGTTGATCGTTGCACGAAAACGTAGTTGGGGAACGTAGGCCGGGGTTGATGCTGTGGTAACTGCGCTTAGGTAGTTGGTCGGTGGCTGGCTTCTTGTTGTGGGTGCGGTGCGAACGGTGAGGGTGATGGAGGAGTACTCCTGGCCGTCGTCTCCATCGGTATCTCCGTTCCGGCGTCCCGGTCGTGCAGCGCCCGCGCGGCGGGAGGTCTGCTCCTTGCGGAGGCTTGGCGGGGGCTGTCTCGTCATGGCCAGCAGTGGGTTGTCTTGCCATGCTCGTAGGTACGCCTTTTGTGCGAGGCGGCTGGATCGTCGAGGCTTCCGCACGGTTGTTGGTGGTGGCCTCCATGACGCACTGGAGGGAAGCGGTGATTGTGAGCCGGCGACGTTGTGTGGGTCTACCCCCGCAGTTGTTGCTATGGCGGGCGTCGTCACTGTGTCTGCGTGTGTGTGTCTGTGGGCGTGTAGGTCTCTGCACGCTGTAGCTGTGTCTGTGACGGTGTGTGTGGTTGTGTCTGTATGTGCGTCCTGGTCTGTGTGGGTGTCTGTTGTTGACATCACTGTTCCAGTGTCAATGCATGTCTGTGTCTGTGTCAGTGTCGGCGTTTGTTTGCGCATCTAGGTTTGCCACCGTGGCTAATGCTGTGTGTGCTGCGGCAGTGACTTGATCCATGGTTGCTGAGTCCGACGACTCTGCTGCTGTGTCTGTGTCCGTGTGCGCGTGTAGGTCTCTGCACGCTGTAGCTGTGTCTGTGTCTGTGTCCGTGTGCGCGTGTAGATCTCTGCACGCTGTGGCTGTGGCTGTGTCTGTGTCTGTGTGTGTGTCTGGGGTTGTCGTTGTGGTGGGTGGTGGCTCGCGTGGGGTGGTCCGCTTCAGGAGGGTCGCGAGACCCCTCACTGAAGCGGGCCGTTTCCCGGACACTGAGCATAGCCGTGGCCGGGCTTGCGGCAACGGAAGCAGGCGCCCTCGGCCATCAGTCGCTGGCGCTCCTCCGGTGTCAGCGGTGGCAGGCGCTTGCGTGGTCCATCGTCACGTCGCGGGGCCTGCTTGTTTGCCTGGTACTTGGAGGTGCCGCTTGAAGAGACTGACGTGCGGCGCGCGAAGTGGGTCCCGGATACATCCTTGGCTTGGTCCGCGTCCTCGGCGATCTTCATTGCTTGCACCAGGGTCGATGGGCTGGCCACCGATACCACTTGTCGAATCGTCGGG